TGGGCACAGACCCCTCACGAAGGAACTGGCCTGCTGATAGACAGGAGCGGGCAAGATGCCGAGTCTCCGTGGCGTCTGTCATGTGCGCCGCTCCAAAACTCCCGGTGTAAAGAGAACTCCACTAATCATTACACTGTTTCAATTCTTTTAAAACTTTGTATTCTATCCCACAATGTTCACATATCAGTTATTGGGGATTATTGGGGTCCTGTTTAACAGTAACAGGAAAACAATGGGGCCCAATGCAGTCCCCAGCCAATGTAGAGTGCTGAATTAGTAGTTGGTAGGCAAGCGTGATGCCCCCCCCCCCGGGAATTCTGGAGCCACCTTGTGGTCTTTTCCTCTTTCCTCTTCAAGGGGCGCAGATGCAGTAACTGACCCTACCAGACTCCAGACAGAGAATATCTCTGGCCCGATTGGCTCTCCCCTAATGTGGGCCCTTCTCAAGCTTCCTCCCACCCTCCGCCAATGCTCTGCAGGCGAAGTTCCCACCAGAAAGAGCCAAGGGCTACGCCTGGTGATTTCTTGCGGCATTGTGGACGGAGAGTGGGTCCTAACTTGGGCCACCACACAACTCACTGCCACATGCGACTGCACATGTCTGCGCTCCTCTGCTGACAAGTTCTGCCCCATCATCCCAGCTAGAAGAACTTTTCCATGGTGCTACTAATGTCACTTCTGCTTGTCTGACCCCAAAGTCACCGGGGAATTCCCCGAAGCCTGTGCCTCTCCTCCCCACCCAGTCGGTCTTCCCCTCCCAACTCTCCCATGCTTTGTTGGGCGCCAGTTGCCAGGGGCTGATCAGACCCCTGCATCCTGTGGGGAGAATGTCATGGAATAAAGGAAGACAAAAGACAAAACTCAAGGTACAAGGGCGGGCAGGCACAACAATCTGCACGGTTGCCCCACTTTTATTACCAAGTAAGGCCCACAGGGGAAGGGGTGGCGTACTGTTCATAGAAGAGAACTGTGGTAAGTGGAGAACCGAGGAATGAGCAATAGTCCTCCAGACCCTACCGCCTTGCTTTTATTTTTCTGGTGCTGGCAATCGAACTCAAGACCTTGTGCTTGCCACGCAGGTACTCATGCCCCCAAGCTACATCCCAAGCCCTGCCTTTCATCCTTTAGATTGCCTCAGCAGACCCTGTCTTGCCTTAGGAATGCTTCAGTTAAGAGCCTTCTCTGCCCAGCAGGGAAGCAGGCAGCCTTCCATGTACTTCTCTGCTCCTAAAGCAAGGTCACGCCAGTCTTGAGACCACGGAACCCGTCACATAGCCTGGTCCCCAATAAACACTAGGAACAGTGGAAAGGTCTTACAGTGGCCACAACTGAAAGGCAGTAACAACAAAGTGAATTAACATTGGGTTATAAAGCAAAATATAAAGTAGATATTTGGAAGTTCATGCTGATACAAATATTGAAGAAAGAATAGGCAATTGTCCTGTGCAAAAGAAATTGGAATAATTTCTGCAGATACTGTTATTATAGATAGCTAAATTAGACGTATGGCAGGCAGTCACACAGGGCTGGCTCCTGGAGGGAGTCAGTGCAGAAAAGAAGAATCCATCAGGACTGTGGCTGGAGGTGTTTCTGAAGATTAAAGTCACAGTGGCTAATTCTACATACTTCCCCAAGGCATGATGGGGCGCTTGGGATTATTGGTATCACCCTTCTGAGACTTCCTGTTATCTCATTAGCAATGGGCCATCCTCTCCCACCTACCAAGATGAAGATTAAGGGCGCTAAGACTAAAGACAAGAATAAGACTATAGATTATCAAACAAGGTTAATGATGTTGTCCACGTGCTACTGCTACCATTGAATCAGTATTACCTAAGCAACTATATTTGCAATTTTTTTGGTGGATCATAATTTTGGTCCATTTATACCCTTGCTTCCTCAAAGTTCTGTTTTGCGACGTAGGCTAAAATAATTTATGATAGCTGTCATTACTTTGGGCACTTTAGTTAGGACCTCTCATTATATTATTAGTAGTAGTAGTAGTAGCAGCATTTGCCTTTTTGACAGGTTGTGTCCGACTGAGGGAGTCTTGGTCTCACACCAAGCCCTAGGTACAAAGGGGACTAGGAATCAGAACTCCTTTTTTTTTTTTTTTTTTAATATTTATTTGTGTGTGTGTGTGTGTGTGTGTGTGGCCAGCTCAGCCCACCAGGGGGCGGGGCTGGCTGGCATGTGGTGCTGGGGGATTGAACAGCGGTCCCTGTGCTTTGCTAAGCTTGTTCTAGGTAGGTGCTTTAGACCACTGAGCCATCTCCCCAGCCCCCAGAACTCCTTTCTTGAAGAGGCCACATTGCAATTCACTGCATGTACAGAAAAGATCACTCAAGAAGTGACAAAAAGCCAGGAATGTGACAGCTGTCCACACAAGGGGTGAGGTCCCTTCTGTGGTGCAACGACACACCCGGGAGAGTATGGAGGACAGGGGAGATCGAGCCGTGCGACCTTACAACCCATGAGCCTTAGATTTGGAAGAGAGGTGATAATCTCTTGAGAGTTTGGCAATTTGTTGGTGCAGGAGGCTACAAAGCGCATGTGGCACTTGCTGGTGGCTGAGAGTGGCAGTCATCCTCTGTGGTTCCTGGCTGTGGTCATCGCAATTTCCTCCAGCATGGGAGAGTGACAATGTCATAGTGTCCTCACCAAGCATGTTCTTTTGTTCAGTTCTGGCCTTTGATCTTGGAGATATAGTCTGGGCCACTTGTATAGTCATTTCTACAGAACTAAGACAAGTGCTGCCACCTACTGGGGAACATTTTATAGCAATTTTGCACAGTGGTAGATACTTCAGGATAGACTGTGACAATACGCTCTCCTTCATCTAAGTTGACTGTGAGGGCCAGCCTCCAAGATGCTTCCCACTGAACCCCATCTACTGTTACTTATGCCACTTTTGGTGGATTTTCCCACACTAGAGGGATGATTTGGAATCAACAGAACATGTAAGAGCAATGACACGGTGAAGTTTTTTAAAAAGTATGGCTAATGCTTAGATTTTAAATAGTTTGTCAAAGGCACATGCCAGTGATATCCCTTAGAGTGCCCCCCCGCAACACACTTAGCTCACTGTTCCTGTCCCTTTCTGAAGCACCTCTGGAAGTCCTTTCTCCTGAACTATCTTTACGTTTTGAACTGGGAATCGAACTCAGGGCCTCATGCTTGCTATCTCCCCGCCCCCGAGTGTCTTTAGTTGTAGGAATCAATCCACGCCATTGACCTTTTTGGTCATTTTGACTTTAGAGAAGGCACAGAAGTTGCACGGTGCCAGATCTGGTGAATGAGAACACACATTTTGACAGAAATCACTTTGAACACTTGAATTGATTCAAGATACTGAGGTGACCACAACAACACAACTAAAAGAATACTCTGGAAAGAGGACTTCCAAAATGGCTTCAGGAAATGGCAGGAGCAAAAGAATGTGGTACAGGGGGTGCTCGGAGATTAATAGCTGTGTCTTTTATTGCATTTTAAATTGAAATATTTAAAAAAAAATTGAAACATTTCTCACATCATGTATGTGCCTTTTGTTTTGTTTGGGTTTTTTGAATCAGGGTCTGATATGTCCAGACTGGCCCCGACCTGGGGGTCCTCCTTCTGCCTCAGCCTCCCAAGTGCTGGGATTACAGGCATATGACACCACACCTGGCTCATGTATGTAATTTCTAGGGCTAGGTCACAAAGATGGGGCTTTTGGTCTCTCGGGTCACAGGCTCTGAGGGAAGCCAGCTGCTTTAAGTGAACATTCACACAGCCCCCTAGGGACGTCCGTGTGGGGAAAAACTGCAGCGTTCTGCCAATAGTCTTGGGAGTGAGCCACCCTGGATGCTGCTCCTGTGGCCTGAGGCTCCAGATTTTGATGTATACCACTGGTTGCTCAAATGAAAAACACCAGAGACGAGGCAAACTGCTTTATTCAAAGCTGGTCCTGAGGAAGGCTTCTTTGTGGCCTTACCTCTACTTCAGGGGGCTCAGGAGCTCGAAGTGCCCAGGAGACAATAGGAGATCTCTGGCCTGGGGGTAGGTGTCCCTTCTTGGCGCAGACACTGTCTTACGAAACAGACACATCACTTTCCTCAAAATCAACTCATGAACTGAGGCGTGGAGGGTGTGTGACAGCTGCCTCTGTTCAGAATTTAGATACCACGTGAAAAAAACAAGTCCTCAAAAATGAGACCTGGAGGCCAGCTGGGCCTGGGAGGGCCACGGGTCCGGCAAGCTGGCCTGCCCAACTTAGGGGCTCAGCGACACCCTCTTTGAAAGTTAAGAAGAACAGGCGGCAGGGCTGGCCATATAGTTCAGTGGGAAGGCGCTGGGTTCAAGCACCGGGACCGAAAGCCCAACCAGCCGAACCACAAACCCTCGGGCAGATCCACCGCGTCCCGCCGCGGCCCAAGCGCCGGCCCGGGGCGCCTGCTGGCCGCGTCAGGCGGGCAGGCCTGCAGCGCGCTTTCCCCACCTGCCCAGGGCGGCGGCGCGTCCGCCGGGGGGCGCCTCGGTCGCGCGCCGAGCCCTGGGTGCAAAGGGGACGAGGCAGCAGGCTGAACGCCTTTCTTGGAGAGGCCGCGTTGGAACTCACTGCACGTGCAGAAACGACGCTCCAGAAGCGACAAGAAGCCGGGAATGTGGCTGCAGTCCGCGCGAGGTCCCTTCTGAGGTGCCGCGGCGTGGCCGGCGAGCGCGGAGGACTGGGAAGATCGAGCCGCGCAACCTCACCACCGTGAGCCTTGGCTTTCGAACGGAGGCGATAATCTTCCAGAGCTGGGCTCAACTCGGGATTCTCTGGGCAACTGGAACACGCCCAGTGGTCGGCGAGTATCGGAACCAACCGCTCTTCCCTCCTCACCCGGCGGAAGCCGCGCGCGCCGAAGCGGAAGTGAGGCCCACACTTCCGGGGCGTGGCCGGCGCCTGCGCAGTGTGTCTCCGCGCCAGGCTGCACAGCCGCGCGCCAAGCAGTCGATCGGCTGCGTCGGTGGCTGCGTCGGCTCCAGGGGAGCCTGAGGAGCGCCGCGCGGCGCCCCAGCTGCGGCCGAGCCGGCCCCGCGCTCCTCCGGGGCCGCCATGAGGCTGCGGGTGCGGCTTCGGAAGCGGACGCGGAGGCTGGAGGTGCCCGCGGCGGATCCGACGCTGGGGCAGCTGCGCGCGCACCTGAGCGAGGCGCTGCCGAGCTGGGGCCTCAGGTGGGCGGGGGCGGGGGCGGGGGCGCTGGACGGGACGGGACGGGACCGGATGGGACCGGACCGGACGGGATGGGACGGGTCGGGACGGGACGGGATGGGACGCGACGGCCGGGGCCGCGGAGGGCCGGGAAGGAGGCGGGAGCCCTGCCCGGGCCCGCGCGTGCCGTGCCTCGGGGCTCCTTCGCTGGGTCAGGGCGCTGCTGGATCGCGCGCGAGCCTGTTGTCCTCCAGCTTGAACAGTAAAGCCGAAGCGAGGCCCGTGGTCAGCCTGAAGCCGCCTAGCGAGCGACGTGGGCGTCACCTTGTGGCCTGAGCCTCGGCGCTTGCGCGCCGCGCCCTGAAGCCTTGCCTTCCGGCGTGTTCCCCAGCGGTGGTTTCCGATTGCACGGCTGAGGCCGTGCAGCCCGCCGCGCCTGCAGGCGTCGCGCCTAGTTTCTCTTTCAGGTTCGCTTTCACAGTTGAGCCTGGTTGACTGGAAGGAATTTAAACCTCTTCTTGTGGAAGGGAATTGGACAATAAGGAGGCAGCTTAAAAGGGTGTCCACATGATATTGATGATTATAATTTCTTAAATCTTTTTGAGACAGGGTGTTGACACAGTTCACGCTGGCCTTGAACTTACTGTGTAGCGCAGGCTGCCCTCCACCTCACAGAGATCCTCCTGCCTCAGCCTCTCGAGTGTTGGCACTACAGGTGTGAAATATATCTGATAAGCTTGGAGTTGCCAGAATTTCATTCTCGGGTGAAGTTAACTCCCTTTCCCCCATTTCAGAAAGTAAAACAGTGGGAAACTACATATTACTTTAGAAATTATGCTTCCTAGCTGGGTGTGGTGGTGCGCCACTGTAATCCCAGCACTGGGGAGGTTGAGGCATTGGGAGCTTTTCAAGCTTAAGACCAGCCTCAGCTACAAAGTGAGCTCAAGGCCAATTTGAACTGTGTAGTGCTACCCTGTCTCAAAGAGACAAAAAAAAAAAAAAAGAAAGAAAAAAATCACTTTTCCTTTTTTGGAAAGTGGGAGGGAAAACCGATAATTTAATCTTTTCTGCAAGTAGACATTTAAATGTACTAGATTGTTTTGAATGAAAGCCTTTAATCCAAAAACACATTGTCCCTTGGAGATGTTTTTCCTTCTTTTTCTGCCAAAATTGGTATGTTTTTTGAGGGTAGCTAGCTGATTGTCCAGCACTTTCGCTTATCAAAACATGTAGAAAAAAGAGGCAGAACCACCTGTTCTCCAGTCAGCAGAAACGGCTTCTGTTTCAGTAATTTCTCGAGCTGGGTGTGGAGGCATCCGCTGGACTCGCTGCCCTCTGGAGGCCGAGGCACTGGAATCGGCACTAGGATCTATGGAGGTGCGGGCCAGCCGGGGCTGGCGTTCACTTGAACTGCATAGTGAGACCCTGCCTCAAAACAGCAACAAAGAGTGATTTCTCTACCAGAGATGCTTTAATTTGTAAGAAAAAATACGTTTATGGGTGAAGGAAAAATTACTTGTAACATGTTCAACATGGAGTATCAAGAGAAGAGTAAACAGTGAAGCTTTTCAGAGGAATTCATCCTTTGTTAATATCCCACGAAGTGAACGGCTCAGCACTGAGTGTTAAATGTCACATCAGATGCCTACCAGAGGACCATGGCGCCTCACCTCCCCACTCTTGTGGGAAATGTGTTTCTATCTTTTTGCTGTGCGGTGCAGGCCGGCCTGAGCTCACAGTGTAGCCCAGGCTCGTGACTCTCCCGTCAGCCTCTTAAGTTCTAGGATTACAGGCACGCACCGCCACAGAAACTAAGCAGGTAAACAGAGTGCTTTCACGTAGTGGTGTCACGATAGCAGTATAGGAATAGAAATAAGGCTTCTCCTGAGAGGTGACGTTGAGGTGAGGCCTGCGGGGGGAGCAGGACTGAATTGTTTGAAGACCTGGCTGGGTGACAGGGAAGCCGCATCCTGTGGGGAGCTTGGTCTGCTGTTGATGGCTCTTGGGAAGAGGGCTGAGTGGGGGAAGAGGGAAGGGCCAGACACTGGGCGTTGGGCCTTAGGAAGGTTTTACTCGCAGTTCAAATAGGAGCCCTTGGAGGGTTTGAAGCAGAGGTGTGATGAGATCTCATGTATTTATTTATTTATTTATTGATTGATTGATTTTTTGCGGAACCGGGGATTGAACTCAGACCCTTGCGCTTGCCAGGGAAGCGCTTATCCTACTGAGCCATCTCCCCGGCCCCCTCATATTTTAGAAAATATTTCACTGAATCAGTTATAATGGTTGTAAGACTCACACTGTTTTACATAGCACTGAAGAGAAATATTGTGCATTAAACTAATAAGACCTGTAGTTTAGGAAGCATTCCAATTTCAGAGGTGCCCGACTAGAAGAAAGGTGTATTTAGAATGAGAAAATGTGGCTTACTGGTGGAGGAAGTGCTTGATACCCCAGGCTACAGTTTTCACCACCGGGAGTCTTTACCCTCTGCATTTTATGATGAGAATAAGCAGCTTAGTGCTTCATTCCCTAGTGGTAGGGTCGCAGCACGTTCCTTTCTGTGCTCCAGACGGTTGCTTAGGGTGGTGCTGAGAGGTGGCTCTTACTGTCCTTATCTGTCTCTCTTGGCAGTTCTGATACCCGCTATGCAGTTACCCTGAACAACAGAGACGCCCTCACTGGAGACGAAGAGACCTTGTCGTCGTTCGGGATTGTTTCTGGGGACTTGATATGTTTGGTTCTCGAGGATTCCATGCCGGCGCCTAACTTGACTCCATCCACAGATTCAGAGCATTTCTCCGTCCTGAGTAATGACCAGCCCTCTCTGGCCACTACCGCCACCGAGGCCAGGATCCCAGAGGAACAAGAAAGTGCTTCGTTCCAGGGACAGGCAGCCCAGTCTGGTGTCTGGCAGGATGACAGCATGGTGGGTATCAAAAATGGGTGGTTCTCACCAATTGGCTTGCTGTGTTTCTCTGATAACTGTACATTTTTAAACGAAATGATCATCGTGTTACTGAGAGATAAGACAGTTGTTAGATTTAAGAATAGCAGTGGTGTTTGTTGAGGGGACAGACAAGGTTCTGGCACTTCTGAGATGCTCATTGTTTCCTGACTATAGACACGGCTTCACCGGCTCTGCGTGCCCAGTGTAAATGCAGTCCAAGTGCAGTCCTTTTGTTTGTTTATTTATTTATATGTACTTAATGCAGGGCCGACAGGGTCTCACCACACAGTTGAGACTCATAGTGATCCTCCTGTTTTCGGCCTCCCAAACTCTGGGATTACGGAGGCACCCCACCATGCCGAGTGAGGGCACACTGGGGTTGAACCCCAGTCCATGCATCTGCCAAAGCAGGCCCTTTAGTGTGTTGAGCTACCTGGCCAGCGCCAAAGCTGTTCGTTCTTTTTTTTTTTTTTAATTTATTTATTAATTTATTTAGTGTGTGTGTGGCCAGCTCAGCCCACCAGGGGGCGGAACTGGCTGGCATGTGGTGCTGGGGATTGAACTGCGGTCCCTGTGCTTTTGCTTAGCTTAGCTTGTTCTAAATAGGTGCTTTAGACCACTGAGCCATCTCACAGCCCCCAAAGCTGTTCTTTATGGAGGTTGTGTTTCAGTTTTTAAAACTTCTTTAAGAGACTTCACACATGAATATTACATGTTTTCCTTGATTTAGTCTTTTTTTTTTTTTTTTTGGAACCGGGGATTGAACTCAGGTCCTTGTATTTGCCAGGCAAGCACTTTACTCAACTGAGCTAACTCCCCGGCGCCTCCTTGACTTAGTCTTGTTTGAAAAATGATTTTTTTTTTTGAAAAATGATCTTAAGAGACATTTTTATTACTATCGGAAGAATGAGTGTGGATGTTTGCATTCAGTAATATCAAAGGAGTACTATTGATTTTTTTTCTGTGATAACACAGCTATGATTGGATTGAAAGTGCTTTCATTTTTACAGCAAAATACATGAAAATAGGATTCGAGCTATATATTGCCTGTAATTTCCTTTACACTGTTTCTGCAAAAACAGTTTTTGACACAAAATATGGTAAAATATTAACTTACTGAAATTTACTTTTTAAAAATAATATTCATTGTCCTTTCTGGGGTATATGAAGACTTACACTAATAAAAAATTCAGTATATGGGCCAAATTTTTTTTTAAAAGCAAAGATGTAGTGGCTGAGCCTCGCGGTCCCCTTGGTTGCATTCCACATAGCCGGGATCCTTCAGTGAGGCAGATGAATGTTGCCAGAGAGCTTTTCTTTAGCTGCTGGAGACCTGCACCGATGGGGCCGGCACTCCGGGCCGGTCGGTGTGTTCCGGTTGCCGCGCCTCCAGGTCAGCTCTCCCAGGTTCGTGGTTGTCTCTGAGGTGGGGATTCTCAGCTCTCCTGCTCTGATCTGACCACTCTATGAGGCTGCGTGCGCAGTCCAGGTGTTTCCACACAGCGTGCGGGGCGTTGGGCCCGGGGACTGACGCCGCGGACTGTGTGTTGCTGCTGTTTTCTGGGTTTTTACTCCTCGTTGCCAGCCCTGTTCAGGGCTCCTTTTTCACCCCAGGCCTCTTGTGTCTGTTTCAGTCCACCTTCTAAGTTCACCTCTTTAGGTCTTCGGTGCTCTAACTGCATGTCATAGGTGACATGGTTTTGGAGCAGGAGAGCCCACATAGCCAGTCCAGTCCTGCCCTTTCACAAGGGGGTGTTCTGCGGCCCTGCGGTCTTCAGGGTTTTCTGAGGCATTGCCTCGCCCAGCCTGCCCTGGGCTGCTCCTCATCTGCTCTTCCTCCCTCATGTTCCTGTGTAGCCTCGTTCGCTGGTCCTCGTGCTTATTCTGCTGTTTCTCCCTCTCCTGTTGGTACTTCTGCCGATCCTCCAAGGCCCTTTCCGGCCAGTCATGTTGCTTCGTTCTCCAGATTACCTCTCCTGTGGGTGGTTGTGTATGCTGGGCAAGCACCCTGTTGCTGAGCCGCACCCCTGGCCCACATGGGTGCTCCAGTGTCCTCTGGATTGTTTGTTTATTTATTGTCTTTTTGAGACAGGGTCTCACTGTGCAGCTCAGGCTGGCCTTAAGCTCACTTTGTAGCCCAGGCTGGTTTCAACTCTCAGCAATCCTCCTGCCTCAGACTCACGAGTGCTGGGGTTACAGGCCTGCACTACCCCACCTGGCTAAATACCTTGTTATTTTATCTGGCCTTTCAGTGTCTTATGTGAGGGGAACATTTTTTAAAAATCATACAAATGTTCTTTTTTTAAAATTTATTTATTTATTTATTATTTGTGTGTGTGGCCAGCTCAGCCCACCAGGGGGCGGGGCTGGCTGGCATGTGGTGCTGGGGGATCGAACCGCGGTCCCTGTGCTTTGCCAAGCTTGTTCTAAGTAGGTGCTTTAGACCACTGAGCCATCTCACCAGCCCCATCATACAAATATTCTGGTTCATATTTTCTGGTGCGTATATACTTATCACTTCAATTTAATACTTTCTTGGTCCTTGAATATTAAAGCTACCTATCATGGCATTAAATATGGACAGATATTTTAAAAATACTTACTAGATTAAGTTTTGGAAATCACTTGTATCCAGATAAATGGATTTTTACTTATTTTAGAAATTATTGTGTCTCTTGTGTGTTTCTGCTTTATAGAGGTAATCTGGGGGAATAAATAAGGATATTTGGCTACATATTTAAATTACTGTCTGTCCTCCCTGCATGGTGGCACATGCCTGTCACCCCAGTACTTGGGAGTCTGAGGCAGGAGGATCATTGCGAGTCTGAGACCAGCCTGGGCTACGAGGTGAGCTCAAGGCCAGCTCGACCTGCATAGCGACACTCTGTCTCAGAAAGACAAAACAAAGAAGAAACAATTGTGAGTTTTTCCCATACCCATAAAGACTTGTTCAGAGGCAGTGTCAGCCGAAGGGCCCACCCCCTGTACTTCCCTGTACTTTCAGAATTATCACATGAGAGAACTTTTCACAGTATTTGTATGTTACTCCCCTGGCATTCCTGTGGAACATTTCCGAAAAGTAGTGCTGCTGCTGGATCGTAATTGCTGTCCTGACAGCGCGCTGTTCTGTGTCCTAAGGTTCGTGGAGGGTGACGGTAAGTCTCAGTGTGGAGCCCGAGTGTGAGCTCTGGGTAGGTGATGCTTTGAGTCCTTGAACCGGCGTGATCTGAGATTCAGTGCAGAGTGGAGCACTGTGGACAGAAGACAAGACAGGGATGTCTCGAAGCCAGAGGAGGCGATGTTCTTGGAATTAAATACGAGCGCATTTTCTTACTGCTCTCACCAGTGCTGCTTGGCTCAGTGTGGGGCGGAGTAACTGGTGCTGGCCACACGGTGCTGTCCTCGCTGGCTGTGGGCACGATCTTGGCCAGCAACCATGGCAGAAGACTGGCTGCAGAGGCGGTCTCGGCGTGGACGGAAGGACGTGATAAGTCCCCCTATCAGAGTGGCCCAGGGTGGCTGTGTGCAGTTGGCCATTAGGCTAGATAAGCCCTCTATGGCTTCTGATGGTGTCCTCGCAGGATTGCCAGTGAGGTAGCCCTAGGGTGCTTGCCCTCTAGGTTCTGTCCCATGTCCCTGTGGGTAAGTGGTAAATTGAGGAGAAGTTAGGCAGAATGGTAAAGAAGCAAAGGGCTCGTTCATGATTCAGTTTGGTATTTTCATCTTTTCATATAGTAGTTTATTTGCCCCCAAATAAAACCAAACAAGCCTGAAAACGGCCTTGCACCGTGCTCCTCCTTGGGCGGTGTTTGCCGCTGGCTGTGGTTTTCCCGGCTGAGTCTGGGCCTTCCTGTAGCCGTGAGGCCTGGTCCCGCAGGCTAGGGCGAGGGCGGTCCCCTGGGTCCTGGCCTTCCTCCAGCCCGTCACTTGGTGCTTTACTTTTCTCTGCACTCTCTTTGGTAGCAGAACAGACTTGGACAGAAGAAACATGTGCTTTGCATCAGGGTTTGAGCACAAGCCTAGGAGACAAGCTTCCTGAACCAAATTGGAATTGCCACGGCAGCTCAGTTTTATTGAGGCTTGTTTTGCATGTAAAAGCCTGAACTGTAGCTGGCTACTGTGGTTGTGTCGCTGAACCTTTCTGAATTGCAGCTACAGGGTGCGTACAAAGATAGTATTATGTGCATCGCGTAACGTACAGGTCACTGAGGCACGAAGGAGAGCACGCTTAGAGCGCAAAAGCACTGTGGACTTGGGACTGTTGCACAGGTGCAGGCTGCGGCTGAGGGCTGAGGAGCAGGGAGGCGCAGCTTCCAGGCCTTCACAGCACAGGGAGGTGAGCGGGCGGGACCCACAGGAAGGGAGGCTGGCGAAGTCGGTCAGGCGCCCAAAGGCCTCGCACGCTGCTGAGGTGTGCAGGAGTTTGGACTTTATTTTGTAGGCCTGTATTTCTAGTGGAGCCTCCTTGAAAACGTTATTTCATGAGTGCCTAAGCGTCGGAGGGACGAAGGATAATGTGCCTATACGTGGCACTCCCACTCTTAGACACCTGCGGCTCTTGTGTGCCAGTGCTGTGGTTGGTGAGTGTGGAGGACGGGGTTAAGTGGCTGCAGCAGGCCATGTTTTCCACACTGGCATGGTGGGGCATGGTCTGATCTGCATTTGGGGGTGCGGTGCTGGTTGGTGATGGTGCTGCTGAGAGGCTGGCAGTATGTAAGGAGCTGGGAGACAGGAGGCGGAGGCTGTGCTGGAAACCAGGAGAGAGACAGCTGGGGCAGGAGTGAGTTTTGGTGGGGGTTGGAGCAGGGTTCAGGAGAGACAACAGACCCACGGTGGCTTCCAGGCTCTGGGCATGTCAGCTGAACCACCCAGAGATTCCGGGTGCTGTGGGTCACTCATTTATGAAGGCTCCCAGCGAAGGGCGCCCTGAGCCCACAGGTGCGCCATGACTTTGAGTGCTACTCTTAGTTCACTTGATGTGAAAGGCACCCTGTGTATTTTCAGTGAATTCACTAATTTTTGTGTTTCCCCTTTCAGGCAGGGCCCAGTCCGAGCGTCATAGCTGAGTCAGAGGAAGATGCCGTGGACTTGGAGGAGGGCCCTGGGTCCCGTCCCTCAGAGCCCATGCTCTGCAGCGAGGCGGTGGAAGGGCAGGTGCCACACTTGCTGGCGACCCTGTATCAGTCTGCCGGCTGCACCAGTGCCAGTGATGCCCTGGTGGTGCTGATCCATGTCCTCATGGTCGAGTCGGGGTACATCCCTCAGGTAAGGCCTGATGGCAGCCTCAACCCAGAATGAGTGAGCTCCCACGGGCACTTGCCTGGCACCATTGTTGTGGCGGGCTGTGGAGCACAGGGCTGGGCCGTGAGACACTGATCCGCCTTCAGCAACCTCTCCTTTTCCTCCTTTCCTCTTCTCCATTTTCTTTGTCAGTATTTGGGGGACCAGGGATATAGCTCGGTGGCACCAGCGTCTGCCTGTCAGCGTTTGGTAGTACAGAGGGATGGTATCAGCAGTTGTAAAAGGATGAAGCGGGGCTGGAGAGATGGCTCAGTGGTCTAAAGCACCTACTTAGAACAAGCTTAGCAAAGCATCAGGGACCGCGGTTCAATCCCCCAGCACCACATGCCAGCCAGCCCCGCCCCCTGGTGGGCTGAGCTGGCCACACACACACACTAAAAGGAATAAAATAAATAAATAATTAAGGATGACGCGTTCTTGGTGGTGCTATACAAATAAGGTGAGGTCAGTGAGCCTGGGTTGGCTGTGCCTGGACGGCTCACAGGTTCGTTTTGAGGAGATGCCAGTAGTTGAGCGTGATCCAGTCAGGAAGCAGCACTCCTGTCCCTGTGGTCACTCAGTCCTCTTCAGCCCTTCAGCCCTGTCTGTCCATAAGCAGCTTCCAGCATCAGCCTGTGTTTTGTCCCGGCTGCCACTCCTGTGAGGATGGGCATACAGGCCACTCTTGTGTGTCGGTGACATCTGCATGCAGAGGGCGGGGCTACTTGGCCCGTGGTGTGCCGAGGGCCACATGGGACCTACTGAATGCAGGCGGTGCTCAGTGGGTCTGCTGGGACCCCGATCGCCCCGTCAGGGCACATGCTGCTGGGCGCGCAGGGTCACAGCAGTGTAGCTCACGGGCCCTGTGGCTCAGGAGGTGCAACTTTTCATCAGGCCCTTCCTCACTGCCCAGGAGTCTGTGTGGGGGAGAGGTGATAAAAAGCATAGTCCGTAGATAAGCATGTTGCAGCTGGAAATGTCGGAGACACTGCACATAGAAATGTGAGCAGGCCGGGAGGAGGGAATGACAGGGTTTGGAAGGGCTTCGCAGAGGAAGTGGCTTGAGCTGGATTCTGGAGTAAGGAGGGTGGCTGCACTCGGTGGAGAGCGAGTCTGAACTGGGAAACAAGGCCTGATTGCTCTGAGGTTTTACTGGATGGAGTAAAATTTGCATTGTAATCATCTGCCATTAATAATAGTCTTGGGGGCTGGGGAGATAGCTTGGTAGTCTAAGTGCCTGCCTGGCAAGCATAAGGACCTAGGTTCAGTCCCCTGGTACTGCATGCCATGTAGGCCCTGGAACCAGGTGTGGCACACGCCTGTAATCCCAGCACTGGGAAGGCTGAAAACGGTGATCATGCATGCAAAATCTCACTTTTTTTTTTTTTAAATTAATTAATTATTTTTTAAAATTTATTTGTGTGTGTGTGTGGCCAGCTCAGCCCACCAGGGGGCGGGGCTGGCTGGCATGTGGTGCTGGGGGATTGAACCGCGGTCCCTGTGCTTTGCTAAGC